AACAGCCATAACTCACAACAGATGCACAGCTGGTCTTTGCTGTGGCATCTAATACCCAAGATCAGTCTGACCCACCAATTTTAAGCCCCTTTGCTCTGCCTGCAGAACGACAGGCCTGTATTTTAGATTAGACACATAACTTGATCCAACATGGGTGGACTTTTTAAAAGTGTAGCAATCTCCCAGATCCCTGGAGTCGGCAGAGATCTCATTATTCAGAGAGGCGGGGAGGTGTAAAGAGAGCCTGGCCTCTTTTCACTCAAACAGTTGCTTTTTTTTTAAAAAAAAAAACATATTTCTCCAGATGTGGGAAGATTGCAGGGTGAACGCATTCTTGCAGAAGAGCCAAATCTCTGCATTTAAAGAAGAAAAAAAAATCTAGCAACTCAGCGAAAAACTTTCTCCTGGGCATTGGAGGTTTTAAAATACAGAGGAGGGGTTTCTTTTTCTTTCTTTCTTTCTTTCTTTCTTTCTTTCGTTCTTTCTTTCTTTCTTTCTTTCTTTCTTTCTTCCTTCTTTCTTTCTTTCTTTCTTTCTCTTTCTCTCTCTCTTTCTCTCTCTTTCTTTCTTTCTGTCTCTTTCTTTCTTTCTTTCTTTCTTTCTTTCTTTCTTTCTTTCTTTCTTTCTTTCTTTCTTTCTTTCTTTCTTTCTTTCTTTTGTGTTTGACCATACAGAAAGTGTTGATTTAATCTCCCGCCTTTGCTTGCAATCTTGCATGTTAAGTATACTTCTTCACTGAAGTCTGCCAGTTGTACATACTTCACCTGTAATAGATTTCCTCTCCTCCCGTGGTTTCCGATTTCCAGATGTTAGCACTAAGATCCACACAGACCGAACGCTTGAGGATGGAACAGAAGCATTCCTGTTTTCTGGCACTCTCTCTCCTACAAATGGGGCTGCCCCTTCGCTCCAATATACCCCCGAGGTGTCATTTTAAGTTTATAGCTGTCGGTTGGATGGATGCGACCGAAGACAGCATTTGTAGAAAGACATTGGACTGATACCTTGGCCTGTCTGATTTTTTCCTTGCTCAGTTTTGCTGGGAACTATTGATGGCTGGTAACTTGATAATCGTGGCCTTCTGGCTTTTTTTTTTGGACCCCTGTGGACATTGTTCAGAGTTGCCCTTTCCAATTAAAGATGCTGACATGAAATAGAATAAAAATCATTTGCAAACAGTCCTTTTTTTTTTTTTTAGGATTTTTCCCAGCTCAAATTCATTTTTTTTTTCTACAATTCAATTATCTTAGAAAAGAAAGAACACCAGCCCCCGGCAAATTTCTCCAGGTTATGCTTATTTCAAGGGTTGCCTTTTAATCTCGGTAGCATCATGTCATAATAAGGCCTTGGGAGGAAGAGGTCTGGAGGCAGCCAGCATTGCAGCTAAGCTCCCTCCCTCCTTCCCTCCCTTGGGGAAACATTATTTGTAGGTCCTGGAGCCAGAGGGCAAATCTGATCTCCTTTGTGGACGGCAAGTTTTTAAAAATTGCTCAGGAAAAAGATCTAGTGCTTCCCGTCGCTTTCTTGGGCAATTTTTAAGGGTTTTGTTTGCTTTGAAGCTAGAATAGAATAGAAATAGAAATAAATAGAAATAGAAATAGAACTGAAAGGAATAGGAGTGGAATAGGAGTAGGAATAGAATAGAATAGAATAGAATAGAATAGAATAGAATAGAATAGAATAGAATAGAATAGAACAGAGAATATACAGAATAGAATAGAATTCTTTTTATTGGCCGTGTGATTGGACACACAAGGAATTTGTCTTGGTGCAAATGCTCTCAGTGTCCATAAAAGAAAAGATACATTCGTCAAGAATCAAGAATCGTCAGGTGCAATGCTTAATAATAGTCATAGGGTGCAATAAGTCATCAAATCGTACTAAGAAACAGTCAATATAAATCGTAAGGATACAAGGAGCCAGCTTCCCTTAACCCCACTGCATGACTAACTTAACCACTACAACCGCGGCAAGAAAGGTCGTGAAATGACGCGAAACGCCACCGTCTCGCTTAGCCACGGAAATCCGCCCCCCTCCGTTTTGGTTGTAAGTTGAGGACTACCTCTATAAGTCTGCTGCTGCCTGATTGTTTCCCCCAGGACCCTGAGACCCAGGAGGGAAGCTCAGACCATCCAAATGGCCTCACATTTCACATCCCGCGGATGTCTTGGCTGTGTAAAGTCTCAGCATCTTCCCCGCGCCTGCCTTATTAATTACTGACATTTATTGGTAATTGAACTGAGAATTAAAGGCTAATGAACGGTGTCTGGTCACCTTTACAGGGAATACCGTTGGCAGCGCTAAAACCACCCCAAGCAATATTTTTTTCCTTCTTCTCCCCCCCCCCCCACCCCCCCTCCGAAGAGAGAACACTGTCTTCTGGCACCGAAATCAGCCAGGATGGGCCCATTACTCTTGGTGCCCGTGATTTGAAGCTGGCCCTGGAGCTAGTAATAATCCCCTTTTGTCGTTCTCAGTTATAGGTGCTTAGGGCTGATCCTGTGTATTCCCTTCTTTTCCTTCCTCTCCTTCTTTTTTTCTTTTTTCTGGCGGTGCCCTACACAGGCGATTAGCGCCTCGTAATTTAGCTAGTTGTTTTTTTTTTAAAAAAAGATAATTAATTGGCATTTCACTCCTCCAGAGGAGGAGGTCAAACTTCCCCATCTTCGGTCATTACCCAACTAGTCATCCCGCTCCTGACTCTGCTGTGTTCTTCCCCAAGGTGACGAGGTGATCTTTCCCTTTGCTGATCAAGAACACATCGCTGGCCCTAATTAAAAAAGAGGCACGCAGGGGCGACACCCGAGTGGCAGGATTAATTAGATCCACGTGCCTGGGCTGATCTTAAAAAGAAAAAGAAAAAAAAAACACTACAGGTAGATCACAACTGAGCCCAAAATGTCTGTGGTTAAGGACGAGAGATTTGTTTTGCCCCGTTTTAAGTCCTTTCTTGTTCTTAGGTTGTTAAGTCAGTCGCAGGATCGTTAAGCAAATCTGGCTTCCCTGTTGACTTCCCTGCTTGGGCAGGGGGTGTTGGACTAGATTACCTCCAAGGTCCCTTCCAACTCTGATCCTCTGTTATCTGACTTCGCTTGTTAGAAGGTCAACCATGGCTGTGACCCAGGGACCTAATCATGGTCAGAGCAGTAGCCCTTAGGTTTACAGAGTCCACCTCTTGCCCCCAACCATCTGGGTCCTCGTTTTACCGACCTCGGAAGGAAGCAAATATGAAGCAGTGGCCCATCGTCTGAACTTCGATCCCCCGATCGCGAGGATTCTTCAAAGGTCGTAACTGTGAAAAAAAAGGTCCCGAGTCAGTTTCCTCGGTGCTGTAATAACTTTGCACAGTCGCCAAACCAACTGTTGTAAGTTCGAGGACCACCTGAATTAGCCATCATACGAGAGAGCTATAACCCGTGTCAGGTTCCAAGCGATACACCCATAGCAAGCAGAACTCTGAGGCGAGTAGATTTCTTTAAAGAACAGTTTTATTGGACGTATCATATTGGCACAGACTGGTGAAAACCGACTCTGAAAGTTCCGGCGGTTTTTACCTCATTAAAAGTAAACGGTTTTTTCCCCCACAATTTCTCAGTCACATGGCCCAATCAAGGAGCCATTCTGGTTGCCGGGTAACGTCGCTCCACCTCTCTTCAGCCCCCTGTGCGAATGTCCTTGGTTCTCAGGGGAAACTATTTTGCTTTGACCACAAAACTCCAGCTATCTCTATTCCCTCCCTCCCTATCCCTCATTCCCAGGGTGGCAACGCCGAAGCCTCCAAGATGCCCTCAGTCAGGCCAGCTTCAGAGTTGACAACGCCTGCTTCGACTCCATATGGAAAGGTGGGGGGGAAGCTACAGCAGGAACTCGGGAAGAAATCTTGAATTCTGTAGCTTTTGAGGTCGGGCTCGACAGGCAGTGATTGGGCCGGGAGAACGTCGACGGAGCTGTCCATCCGAGGTAACGAAACACCCCGGAAATTACCCTGTGTCGACATGCACTTTCCGTGCCCCTCAGCTCACCCGGCAGGTCAGCCCTTGGCAGCTGCAGTGTCATTATTGAAATCTATTAGTGCATTAAGAGATTGGAAATGATGCTGTAAGCAGCATTCTTCTTCCCCTTTGAACGTCAATGCGCCAGTGCAGCGAAAGCTAATGAAGAGAGAGAGAGAGTGTTAAGAAACCGACGTCCTTTGTCAAAGGCCCAAGGCCAACTCGCTAACCCGAAGGCCATTTTCACCATCCGACGGAAAGTGCCGGAGAAAAGAAGCACAGCTCTGGGCAAACACAATTGTCTTCGCGTTGTGAGCAGTCCTTGACCTTAACAGCCTCTCGTTTAGCGGCCGATCAAAGTTAGGAGGACGCTAAAAAAAAAAAACCACGACCTAACGACCCGTTTTTCACACTTCAGACCGCTGCAGCAATCCCCAACGGTTACCTGAATCCAATTCAGAAGCCTCGGCAGTATTTATGACTTCTGACCAGCTGAGTCAACGGGGCAACCGGATTCACTTAAGGACCGCATTAGTAACAACCATTTGAGAACTCTGGCGAGAAAGGTCATCAAATGAATTAAAGCCCACTTCAAAACCGGCCCCGAATCATCCGTTTCGCTTAGCAACTTCAGCGTCGGCTTCCCTTGTGGTCGTAAGTCGGGGCCTACCTATAATGGGGAAGCGATCTAGGTAAACGTTGAGGTGGATGGTTTCAAGACCCGGGGCCTTTTGCAGCGTAGCTCTGGATGTCAGTCAGATGACCTATGTAAGATGGCTCTTTGCCCCGAGGAGATCAGAGCTCTTCTATTCAGAGAGAAGGAAATAGTAGGAAGAAAATACGAAGCACGCAGAAGCAGCCTGTATCTGCAAGGGAATCCCATAGTAACATGTTTTATTCAGAGGTAAGGTTAGGGTTAGGATAGCGGAACGGCCACTAAACAAAACAAGGTGAGACGATAGGCCGCCTTTAACCTCAGATAATTCTTTTTTTTTTTTTCCCCCACAGAAGGAAGCCATTGCTTCGGTCTCCCCCGTCTTCAAAGGAGCAAGCACGGCCTGGTCATTTTCAGGAACATCCCTTTCACCTCTCTTCTGGTCGATCCGCCCCCTGACCCACAGACTGTCCAACTGCCTGAAGTAAGAAAGGCTCAATATGCAAAGGGGGCAGGATCTCTAGCCTGTTTCCCCTTTTCTCGTCTCCCTGGATGCCCCTCGAGATTTTCCTACTTAGGAGGGAGAAGCCTGATTCCCTCCCTGCCAGGGTCTCCTCTCCCAGGTGTGTGAGGAGGGTCTGATGGCCTTAAGGAGTCCCACCAGCCCAACATCCTCAAAACTCTCAGTCAGGCCAGTTTCTGGCACCTGCCCTCAGTCCTCCTGCCCCATGAAACAGAAAAAAAAAAGAAAGAAAGAAGCTAAAATCCAGTGATTGGCTCCAAGGTGATGTGAATGGGCCAAGGTATCGTTTCTCCGGAATATCCGAGAAGAGCAACCGAGACAATAAGAGGTCTGGGAAGCTAAAATGATAAACGGTTAAGGTGAAGGTGAAACTAGATCTCTTTAGCCTAATGAAGGAGAAGGCTCAGGGGAGACGTGATAGCAGTCTTTCAGTACTTGAGGAACAGTCATGGAGAAGAGGGGGTGCCTTGGGCCAGGGGTTGGACTAGAAGACCTTCAAGGTCCCTTCCACCCTTATACAGATCTCCAGACCTAATCAATCAGTTAACGGATGCTCCCCTTTAAAAAAATAAAATAAAATCTGCGTTGTATTTTAGTGCGGCACCTCTTTAATACCGACCCACCGTTTGTCTTCCTCACAACTCCCATCCCTGCAGAGAGAAATGGAAAAGCGAAGTGCCAGGGCCTCCTCGGAGCAAATAGAAGTTCCCACCCCACTTACAGCCAAGCGTAGCAGGTACGTTCGTCTTACCTCTTTTGTTAAAAATTGGAGCCGGCCCTGCTTTTAAGGCAAACAGGCTTGGGTGGGAAGGAGGTGCAAATTTGGCTGAAATACGAAAGGATCAAAACGTACTTTTATTTATTTCTAAAGCTTAGTTAACTTGCCGGTGGTTTTTTTTATTATTATTATTTTTTATGTTCGGTGAGTCATACTGTGTTTATTGATTTCTATAATAAGTGTGTCTTTTATCCATGTGACTTTTTGCAAAGGTCAAGTAAGATTCTTATGAAGCGTGATTGTGGCATTTCTCCATCTTTATAATCTCTCTTTCTTTCTCCCTCTCTCCTTCCTACATTTTTTTTTGTTTTTTGGCCCACAAGCTTGTTGTCACTCCGTAATATTGATGATTAAATACTGGGTATGCTTTTGTTAACATTTTCAGCTGAAATCTCCACTTCTTGCACACAAAACACAACCTTCACCTTTTCTTCGCCGCGGAACCTTTTGTGCTCACCATCCTCAGTACAGCAAAGTTTGCCCGAAATCTTGAACTATCTGGGGAAAGGGTGGAAAAACATGATGAAAGCAAGACAGGTTCACTTAACTCTGGTTCTCAACAAGCCAACATGTGAAACAAGGCAGCATGGCAGCAGCACAGTTAATTTCTGGAGTGGAGACATCTTTGTAGAAGTTACATAGTCAGATCCTCGACCCACCTGGGATCTTCTCAACTCAGAAAGCTCAAGCTACACAAGGAGCTGCTTAATCCAATTCTACAGAGGAATTATTAAGTCTCATCTGCACCTCTGTGACTGTCTGGTTTGGCTCGGCAACCCAGCAAGTCAGACACAGACTTCAGAGGGTAATTAGGACTGCAGAAAATAGCAATTGCCACCAACCTGCCTTCCATGGAGGATCTGTATCCTGCACGAGTCAAAAAGAGGACTGGGAAAATATCTAGAGACCCTCACATCCCGGACATAAATTGTTTCAACTCCTTCCCTCAAAATGACACTATAAAGCACTGCACACCAGAACAACTAGACACAAGGATGGTTTTTTCCCCCCAACGCCATCACTCTGCTAAATAACTAATTCCCTCAACACTGTCTCAACTATTTACAAAGTCTGCATTATTATTACTTGTTTGGCTGCAGTTTTCCAGCATTTCGGAGAAAGAGCTTCCCCATCTTTATAACTTGTGATGTCCAGGATGGAACTTGAAAGCATTTGGTAGCATGGTGATGTTGACTCAAAGCCCAATAGTAGGCCATGGGCTCAAACCCCTTTGTTGGGACAGACCTCTGTAAAACCACCCACTTGTCAGGCTCAAAAGAATTCGAAACACTCGCTGAGTTCAAACCACAGAGGAGTTTATTATTGCTACCTATAATCAAGAACCCGGTCAACTCATGGTCAAAGCTAAATTGGCACTAGATAAAAGGTCAACAGAATTCAGGGAAGGTTGGATTTGGGTCTCTTGTAGCTGTGCAATGATTCCAAACTGATGGAACGTTTAACCCCACCTTCCAGCTCAGCCTGCTCGCCAGTGGTTCTCAACCTTTCCTTTACCACGAACTCCCTTTAAATACCTTTCCTGGCCACGGACCCCACAAGACTTAACTCAAGATTTAAATCATAACATTTCTTCAAGCCTTTGCGCCAGGCTTGTGTCCAGGAGCCCCAAGTTGAGAACCACCATCCTACACCATCCTTACAAACTAGTTTTTTTCCAAAATTCCGCCTGTTTGTCCTAGCAATGCTCATTTTGGGATTGTGGATGCAACGCAGTGGAATATTTTTCTTTTTTTTGTTTCTAGTCAGAGACGCCACAAAGGAGTCTCGCGTCCTCCTCTTCCTCCTAACAAGTCAATCTTCTAAAGGGAGGGCGATTCTTTAATTTATCCCATGGAGACGCCTTCTTCCAGGGCCGCCTTGCAGCAAGTTGAGCCCTCCAGAGAGACCCTGGGGCTGGAGAGGCCTTCCCCCCCCCCCCGCTCCTACCAATCTTTCCTTGAGCCCCATTGCACGTTGCCGGGAGCATCTAACTGAACTAGGACGAGAGAAGCAATTTTTGATCCTGATCCCCACAGGAATACCAGCTCGCGGCCCTACAGCCGCACCAGCAGATACTGAGACCAATTGGTTTAGCAGGCCAAGGGAACAGCAGGAAGATTACCCATTATTGCTCTCTTCGGGAGGAAGAGAATGAGTGACTAGTGTGGCTCCAATTAGGTGCCTGCTGGAAGAAAGAGAAGGAAACCCACCAGGGAGATCTAATTGGTTTCTCCTTTGAGCGACAGACGCTGTTGGAGAGGCCTCGCTTAGGCATGAGCGAACCCAGTGGTTTGGGCTCAGCCTGTCGGGGGTGGTGGAAGAGAGCCCTCTGCTGAGATAAAGTGAAGAGCAGGTTGTGTATTTATTCATTTAGCATATACGGCAGTGGTGGTATTATACCGGTTTGGCCCGGTGAGGATCATCTAGCTAACCGGGTTCGCTCCGACAGTCAGCTGCTGGGGTCTCTCACCCGCCAGTGGCTCTATAACAACCTTTCTTTCCTGGTTTTGAAGCTCAGCTACCTTGCGTGGCACAGCGGGTTGCTGCGCGTCCGCTGTTGAAGACCCAGGGAGAGTTCAGGATTGCAGGAGAAAGTCGGTATCCAACCCTCTGCGTGCGCAAAGGCCCTGTGCACCCGTGAAGCGTGCCCTTCCCAAACCACGCCCATAGAACCCGTGGTACCACCTATCATACCTGGACTAGCAATATCAATTAGCCTTTCAACTAGGTTGACTAGAACCCAATACAGTCTAGATGTCCGTGACAGTGCAAAAGAAGAGCAACTGAGATGATTAAAGGCCTGGATGATTAAACCATATGAAGAACGGCGGGAGGACTTGGGGACGGCCAGATCTCCTGCTTGAGCAGTGGGCTGGACTAGAAGACCTCCAAGGTCCCTCGCAGCTCTATTCCACTGACCTTGGGTGGATCAAGCCACTTGTGGCTTACTACCCCTCGTTGCTTGTGTTTGACACATGGAGTCCTTGGGCAAGCTTCTCCCAAGTAGCTTGACGGAGGGGAGGATCCGTAGAACATCACTCCGCGTTGCGTTTCGAAGGGTGGAGGGGCTGCCGAAATAAATGTCCATCCGGCTTCGTAATACATTAAACAAACTATGAGGAATAAGCCCTGATTTGAGCCTTTAAATCTGCTTAAGTTGAGATAATGCTCAACAGCTGGGGAAGAAATGGAGAAGGCCTAGAATAGAGGAAATGACCAAATCCGTGAGCTCTCCAGACCATAAAAGAGAGGAAGAAACCAAGTTGGAAGGGAATCTGGCCAAGAAGATTAAAAATCACTGGAAGAGTGATCCCCGGGCTTTTTTTTTAAAAAAAAAAAAGTCACATGCAGATTATCCCACAATGGTTTAAAAGCATAAAACATGCATCACAAACACAGGGGAGAAGATGACTAGGGAGAGCATAAATAACTCAGAAAAAGCAGAAGCATCACTCAGAGCAAGAATGTTGTTTAAACCTTTTTTTTTTTAAAGGAATGTCAAACATTGGGAATTTTAGACAGGCTTAAGTCAACCTTCTTCTCTCTCAAGAGAGAGAGAGATGGATTTTTTTATTTTTTTTATTTTATCCCTTTAGATCAGAGGTCCCCAAAGGTGGCAGCTTTAAGACTTGTGGACTTCAACTCCCAGAATACTCCAGCCAGAGGAAGAGGAAGGAGAGGAGGAGGAGGAAAAATAAGAGGGAGGAGGAGGAGGAAGAAGAAGAAGAAAGGGAAAAATAAGAGGAGGAAGGAGGAGGAAAAGA